AAAAAAAAAAAGAAAAAAGAAAGGAACTTTCTAAAATTGATCAAGAACATGTACTAAAGACCTACACTTTACATTATATTTAATGGTAAAAAGCTGAATGCTTTCCTCCTAAAATCGGGAACAGCAGAACACTAAAAGTCCTAGTTTCATAATAGTATCACCTTGGAGTTCAGAATGTCAGAATATAAATTTGAGGAGGGAGCATAAACCTTCAGATTGTAGCCAAGTATAATACTTTAAAAAATGAATTAGGCTGTTCAAATTATTTATTTCATCTTGGGTAAGGAAATTTCAGTCATGTAATACATGTTTTATGGCAGGTGAGCAAAGGTACTATGAGAATCCATAGATGGAGCCTGACTCAACCTGGGCAGGAAGGTAGGCAGGGATAGGGAAGGCCTGCTAGAGAAGATGATCTATTAGGTTGGTGCAAAGTAACTGCGGTTTGGCAAAAACCTAATAGGGAAGAGTTAACCAGGCTACCTGGGTGGGTGAGTAAGAGATCAGGATGTGTCAGTAAGAGAGAACAGTGTAGAGGGGATGGTGGTAGAGTTCATTAGGGGACCTGCATTTTTTATTGTGTCCGGAGCTGAATGTGTGTCTGTTGGGGATTGGACAAAAGAGATCTTGAGGGGAGAGAGAATGATAAGAGGTAAGATTGATATGTAAATAAAGACTTAATCCTGAACAGTCTGGTAGGATCTCCTGAGGAGTTTGAACCAATGAGTATAATGGTGAGGAGTCACAGCAGAGTGTCAAGTCCAAAAGAGACAATTGATAGTTGTCTTCAATGTAGACAGTGGAATCTTTGCCTATGAGTACTCTCAGTAATAAGGTACATAAAATGTAAAGTAAAATATATTCAACCAAGACTTGGTTTTCCTTAGATCGCATTTCCTTAGGTCTCTATTTAGACTATAGAGAGATTGTTCCTAATGTAAGTAACAAATCCATTTATTTTTTTTTGAGACAGAGTTTAGCTCTTGTTTCCCAGGCTGGAGAGCAATGGCACGATCTCGGCTCACCACAACCTCTGGCTTCTGGGTTCAAGCAATTCTCTTGCCTCAGCCTCCTAAGTAGTTGGGATTACAGGCATGTGCCACCACGCCTGGCTGATTTTGTATTTTTAGTAGAGATGAGGTTTTTCCATGTTGGTCAGACTGGTCTCATAATCCCAGCCTCAGGTGATCCACTGCCTAAGCCTCCCAAAGTACTGGGATTACCAGCGTGAGCCACTGTGCCTGGCTGCAAATCCATTTGTTAAAGAACCAAAACAATTTGGGTTGCCCACTTAGAAACTGAAGTCCAACTCTTATTCTTTTCCCACTGCCTAGGAAAATGTAAACCATTGGATGGACATACATTTATTGAAACATTTAAGTGCTTTTTTCTTTTGCTTTCCTCCTTTTGACTATTCAGTCAGGCATAATTTAGGTTTTTGTCAAAAAAATATTACTAGTCAGTTGTCTCCCTTTAGATGTTTTAACATACATCTAGTGAACAATTGTGAAGAAGACCCTATGGCTTGTGAGACACCTGAAATGTCTCATAGTCTCATCCCACAAGTATCTGATGATTACAGAAAGAAGACATATGTGGGAAAAAATTTATAAACAGGGTGATATGTGATATCAAATAAGTAGAACTGACAATATGGGTGATTAAACTTTAGAGCAGGCAGAGAACACTTTAGACATGATGCAAGGGAAACTGGCTTTTTTATCTTTTCATTCAGTAAATATTTATTGAGACCCTTTCCTTGGCGTTGAGCCAGATAATATCCCTGTTCTCATGGGGCTTCTTTGAGGGAGATAGACATGGTAAAAATAAGACAGTTTCAGATAGTTTCATTATGAATGTGAAACAGGGCAAGGTAGACTAAGTGAAGTGGGTACTATTTAATTAGGAAGGCTTCTCTGAGGAGGAGATATTTATCCTGAAACAATGCCAAGAAGGAGCCAGCCATGATTTAAAATGATAATTCTAAGCAAAGGTACCAACCAACCAGTCCAAAGAAGCAGCTTGGGGTATTTGAAGTTCAGAAAGAAGGCCAGTGTGGCTGAATGGACTGCAAAGAACAAGAAGAAATAGTAGAAAATAAGATCAAATATGTCTAGATCACAAATTTCATGGACAGCCATTTCAGGATTTTAAGTGGAGAAGTAAAATAAAATGTTTATTAAAAAGACAATCTGGGCCATGTGTGCTGGTTCATGCCTATAATCCCAGCACTGGGAGGCTGAGGCAGGCAAATTACCTGAGGTCAGGAGTTCAAGACCAGACTGGCCAACATGATGAAACCCCGTCTCTACTAAAAATACCAAAATTAGCCGGCCACGGTGGCATCTAGCTGAGGCACCAAAATCGCTTGAACCTGGAAGGCGGAGGTTGCAGTGAACCAAGATGGTGCCACTGCACTCCAGCCTAGAAGACAAAGTGAGACTGTCAAAAAAAAAAAAAAAAAAGGTACTCTGGCTGGTGAGTGGAGGTAGGGGGAAAGATCAGATTCAGGTGTGTCAAGTGCTACTGGGAGTACTAAGAGGTTAAAGAAATGACCATTGGACTTGACAGCATGGAAATTTTTGTGGCCCTGACAGCTGCTACTTCAGTGGAATAGGAGCAGGTGAAGTCCCAACAGGAGTTGGTTGAGGAGCAAGTGCAGGCCATGAAACACATTTTTGTGAAAGTGATTAAGTGCCTGTAAAAACATTTTGCTAAAACATCGCCTTCTGCTTAAAAATGTTGCTTACTTCTATAATGTGTTTTTGAACAATGTTTTTTAAGTTGGAAGGAAGTTTAGAGATGATCTAGCCCAACTCTTTGTTTTTACAGATGGCCAGAATAAGTTCTGGGGAATTTAACTAGCTTCAGAGTCAGATGCCTAATTTACACTTTGCCGTTTTTTTTGTTTTTTTTTTAATTCTACACTGCTACTAATAACATTTATTCAGTGCTTACCAGGTACCATATACGATGCCAAAAGCTTTACGTATATTAATACAGTTTTCATGATCTCATAAAGAATGTTCTAGTAAAAGTTCCATT